TTCGTGTCACAGCATGGTCCTAGTGTCTGACAAGTTTATTTAATTGCTGCCCCACAAGGATTTAAAGCGCCAGAGACGCCTTCAGTGTTAAATTCACCAAAGAAAGTTTTCATACTGAAATTTTTACCCCCCGTTGTGGATATTGTTCATCAATGAATGCTGTGAGCATGATAATTGAAAAATAAGTGAAATACAGACTTCCATTTTAGCGTGTGGCTGCATCTAGGTGTAGAAAAGTTCCTTTATTAAAATTTGGTTGCCACTTAAAAAAATCCAAGATGGCTACCACTCTGTGCGTGCGTATTTGTGTAAGTAAACAGGCCACCCCAATCAATTTCTTTCTAGTTTTTATATTGCTTAAAAAGATTAGTGTGGTCGAAGATTAATCTATGGGGGGCCAAGGCCACCACTGGCCACCCCCTGGCTCCACCACTGCACAGGACCCATCACTCCGCTCTGCCTCGATCAGAAAAATAAATAAAAAATCCTACCTTCTTCTACACAGTGTAACTTGAATATCTTTCATCAAAAACATTAAGGTTTACTTGCATTCCCTCTTTTAGAAAAACACTCATCTCAAAAACTACAAACAGGCACTCTTTAAATCCCCTAGGGGGGACATCGGTATACCACTTGTTCAATAATTTTTTTTGGTTTTTGAGTCAATGAGACATTTTAGTTTCAAGATCTCGAGGCATGGGGCCACTTTAAATGCAGATGCATTGTATTTTAATTTTATTACTCATTAATGTGGTTCCATTTTTATCTGTGCAGTTGAGTGCATTTATTTTAGTGCCAAACAATACTCAAAAAGTCATGATTTAAAGCTTTAATAAACTATAATTTAGATTAAAAAATATGTTGTCACATACAAAAGCTTTGTGTTTCAGTTGAAATGCTTGAAGAAACAGCTGGATGGTGCCTAACAGGTTTTGAAGCTTCGCCTCTCGTATTTTCCAGTGGTTTCTGTGGTTTTGACACCGTCCTTTTGTTTAGTCTAGAGGAGGAAGTGAAAGCAGACAAACCGCCGTAAATTCACAATTTCACTTTTCAAAGGATCCCAAAATAAAGTGTCTCTTACTGAAAAGAGGATTGTTGGAGCTTTTATACCGGTCCTCGCATCATAAAAGCTAATTCTGGATGTCGGCCTCAGTGCAGGAATGGAGCTGACGGATTATTGATGAGCTTCTGTTGTACGACAGTAAACAGTTCAGCCAAACTAAGAATAACTGAAGGACAAAATCATGATTTATTGGGATATATTCAATTAAAAAATACTTTATTAATCCCAAAGGGAAATTAAATGTTGTAGCTCATTATCCTCGTTTCATTAAGAGATGTTATAGATGCTGATGGCTGTAAGCAGGAAGGATCTCTTGTGAAAGTCCATCCCACAGTGAATCCGAAGAAACTGGATGCAGATGCCGTCCGATCCGTCCACCTAGACTCGGCTGGCCTCTCGGCTCCTCCAGGCTGCAGGATCGCCTGGATTCTGGGCAGAACTCCTCCCAGAGTGATGGCCACTCCTCCCAGCAGTCTGCTGAGCTCGTCGCTGCGGACAGCTGGCTGCAGATGCCGTGGCTCGATCCTGTTCCTTCTGCTGTCACGAGCTGTGTTTCCTTTCCAGGATCTCAGTGGTCAAGCACTCGAGCACAGCCAGCAAGGAGATGGGAATGCATCTACGGCGCCTCCTTTTCAACTCATTTGAAATTTGGTTGGAGCTTTAGCTGAGATATTATTTGAGCTTTTGAGATGTTAATCAGATGCTCCCAGTTATATAAAAAAAACCCACCTTGTTGTCATGGTTACACATCATAACAAATGTCCAAAAACAAAGATATTTCAGTAAAAATCCTTCCAGCTGCACAGCATCCGATACCAGAGGAAGCAATCATTCAAAAAAGGTGATTTACATCCAGAAAAAGAGGAATTAAAAGTTTCCAAAAGCAAAATCTCAGAATGAAAGTAACAGAGCTACTCCAACATGCAGCCACCCTGAGCGGCGCAGGTCTAGAACCCCAGGGAAATGTGTCCCAGCAGCTGCTGCCATCCTCTAGCTGTGATTTTCTCTATATGTTGATGACTTCTTGTTATTGCAATATTATTAAAGCAAACAACAATTAAATGTCATGCATTCACACTCAGAAGAACAACTAATTTCTTACCTGTTGTAGATGGCTCTTTGAACCACCTCGAAAAGATCAAGTTGTCGTCTTCAAACAACTTTATTTTGAACTGTTCAGCCAAACAATCTAAACTCTTACACCAATAATGCACTGTACAGTTCATAGAATGTCCTGGCTATGTGTAAATAGAGGTGGCAACAGCTAGATGTGGCACTTCCTGTGCAGCCTGGGGCACTTCCTGCAGGAATTTCACAATATTATGTCAAGAATATCTTCAAAGTGACACTGATAACAATGTCAAGGTTTAACAAATATTTTTTTCATGAACCATTTTGATGTTTTTGAGAGTGGAAGCACGTTAAGATGGAAGTGATGCACTTTGGTTCTGGTTTAGCTCAGACTAGCTGTTAGCTCAGACTAGCTGTTAGCTCAGACTAGCTGTTAGCTCATCAGACTTAAAAACATGTTTCACGTCTCTTGAAATGAGGTTCTGTGGAAAAGGCTTTGAATAGTTTTTTTTTTTTTTTTACTTGCTGGAGGTAGTATTTTGATAGACCTTATTTAGGAAAAATACTTAAATCTGACTGAAATGATGAGCTACTGGCTTGAGCTAACTTGCTGACAACTCAATCCGTAATACAGTGGATTATTACTGCAGTGTAAAAATAACTTTAATCTTACTGTAGTTCATGCAAACACAATATTAAAACCGTTACACCTCCATCGACTTCATGTTACACGAGTATTTGCATAAAATTCTGTGGTTATTTGCAAACAGTAGCAGGTAGCCTGTGGTACTTCCTGTAGGAATATGGTCATTTTATTGCTGGAATAACCATGAGGATGATGTAAAGGTTTTTAAAATATACTTTGTATGAAACTTTAGAACATCGATGCTTATTTAAGGCCACTTTGGTCTTCATCTCACTCAGACAAGCTGTTAGCTCATCAGTTATTGTATTTTTATTAACTTTGCACAGAACCTCACTTTAAAAAGATCCCAACTATCCTTTGTTTGTGTCTTGAGAATTTTTTTAAGTATAAAAACATTACCCTTTGATAAATTACTACTTAATTTCCGCTTGGCTTTATTATTTCTGAGGATCAGTCTCCGTCATAAAGATCTGAGCAGGCGTTTCCACGGCCGTTGTGATGTTTATCTGTAATGATTTAGGCTCTAAAAAATGTTTATATACCATCAAACTAACAGAAAAAAATCAATTGGACTCTATTTGTTAAAAACCAAACTTTTAACTTGCTTTTGTGGTTGTTAATTATCAGTAAATCGTTTTAAACAAAGTTGTTTTCTGCCAAAAACGGATGCATTTTTATTCGTTTCCACACGTTTCTCTCTCATCTCTCCTCTTTCTTGGACATTTTCCACGTTTCGACTGGTTTCTGTGGAGCGGTCGTCACCAGTGACCCTCCTCTTCCTCAGATCACTTTCGACGTGACACTAATCCACATGTCACAGATGTCAACGAGGTTCCTCGTTACAAACGTGCACGAGGCTGAGAAAGAGGAGAAAAAGCAGGTCACTGGTGAATAAAGAGGATTTACTCGAGGGATTTCTACAAAACCTGACCCAGAATTAAATAAAAGAACAAGAACAGCAGCAGGAATGAAAGAAAATATCTCAGACTGGGATAAAAATCATTAATTACAGCCACGTTTTGTTCTTATCCGTCAAAAAATCACACGATTTGAGTTTTAATTTATTTGAGATTAAGTCTGGAGGGTTTGTTCTTTGTCAGGCTAAATAATAAAATTAAATATATTTAAATCCACATAAAAAAAAAAAAATCATTTTTTATTATTTGGTTATCTGGATTATTTATAATAATTTTTGTCCTCTTATTTATTGTAATTTTAATCTTGTATTTGTAGTTTTTTGGACCTGATATTTGTAGTTTTTTGGACCTGATATACGTCGTTTTTGGTTTGGATATTTGCAGTTTTTGGTCCAAGTATTTAACTTTTTTTTGTCTAGATATTCATAATTTTTAGTTCTGATATATATATATTTTTTCTGGTCCTGGGATTTGTAGCTTTTGTCTTATGATTTGTCATTTTTTGTTCTGATGATTCTAGTTTTTTGTTCTGTTTGTAGTTTTTTGGTCATATTTGTAGTTTTTTTTGTTCTAATGCTTGTAGTTTTTTGTTCTAGTGTTTTTTTGTTGTTTTGGTCATATTTGTAGTTTTTTGTTCTAATGTTTTTTAGTTGTTTTGGTCATATTTGTAGTTTTTTCTTCTAATGCTTGTAGTTTTTTGTTCTGATGTTTTTTAGTTGTTTTGGTCATATTGTAGTTTTTTTTGTTCTAAAGCTTGTAGTTTTTTGGTCATATTTGTAGTTTTT